ATATATTTTATTAAAAAATAAAAACATCATCGCTTTCTCAAAATCACATAAAGCCATATTACAACATCGACTGAGATAAAAAATAAAATGAAATATTAAAATCACGATGTATCTCACTGCATTGCGCGAGTAAGCTTCTAGTACTAACAATATATATACACACATACCTTCCTTCTCGCCAGCCTCCCCTTCAACGACCTCCATCTTTGCCTCGCCTATTCGTCCCCCATCATCTCTGATGGCACACACAGACTTGAGTGAAACCTCCCCCTCCCTAATGTCTAGGGTCGTCTTTGGAGGAGGGAGACATCGGCGTATGCCTATGGTCCAAAAGTATTAGGAGTCCAAGAGAACCATAATTAATGGGTGAACACGATATTAAAAGTGATCAAGGGATCATGATCCTTTCTTACGCTTCAACCTTAACTCTCATTTTTACATGATCCTTTACACACACACACACACACACACATATATATATACACGAATTTAATCATTTGATAACTCCAAAAATTGTGAGATCCATTAAAATTTCTACCTTAAGGTTTGTTTTACATGATTTTTTTCATCTAAGTATGGTATTTGATAATAATTTAAATATATTTTTCATAATATGTTTGTTTCATATGTATTCGGTTCACGATGTAAAACTTTTTACAAGTAATTTTAATTGTTTCAATAATACCCTAAAAAGTATTTTTATTTTAAGGTATTAATTTAAATAAAACTTTTTACAAGTTTTTTTTAATATATTATAATAACTGCAAGAGCTTTTATTTTAAGGTATTGTTTCACATGATTTTTTTTTCTCCATATTTAAGATTAGCATTTAACGATTGATGAACATATATTTGTTTCATGATACGGATCACAAACAAGCTAAAAGGTTTACAATGTGAAATAAATTCATGCGAGATAAACACATCGATATTCTAAATCCTAGTTTTCAATATTATCACAATTTCATAGGCTCTCAAAATAAGGTCTTTATATATATATATATATATATATATATATAATTCTCATTTAGAAATCAAAATTTCGAAGTTTTGTGAGTAGATATTCATATAACCTAACATCTTAATATATTATATTATATTATATTAATATTAATATTAACATTAAATGTTAATATAATAAAAACATGTTAACATAACTTAACATGAAATGATAGCATGTTTAATTATATATATATATATATATGAACATCCGTTAACAAAGAATTTCTTACATATTATATGGAAAATTGATTTTCTATCGAAACTCAATCTTATATATATATATATATATATATTCAACATCACAAAATAGTGAAATTAACTAAAAAATTGGTAAAATATAATTTCAAATTACTTGTCAACTTACGACCTTTACTTTCATGAGTTGTTAATTAACTAATGTTGCTAACAACTTTTATCCTTCTCATAGTACCCCTGAAGTTGACCAAATAAAACATGTATTTTACTTGCAAAAGACCAGTGGGATCAGCAAAATTCTTAGACCAAGTAGGGCAATTTGGTCATTTCACTATACATGTTTAAGATGGTCGGACAAGCAAGCCATAAAGTGCACCCTCTCTCCCTCCCTCCTCATTCTCTCTCCTCTCTATCTCCAGGTCTTTGCTGGTTCTTTTGCCGATTGAGAGAGAGAGAGAGAGAGGGTTTTGGTCCGGATAGCAACTGATCAGGTTGTAAAAGCAGAGGGAGAGAGAAGAGAGAGAGAGAGAGAGAGAGAGAGAGAGAGAAGAGAGAGAGAGAGAGGTGAAAGTGTTAAAAATAGCTTAAAAGTTTGTCTTTAGCATCTTTAGCATTCAATTCATGCTCTGAATTTCTTTCAACCTCCCCCCTCTCTCTCTCTAGACTTATCTCTACATGTATAGATGTGAGAGAGACTTGTAATTATACACATATGAGTTTTGAGAGAGGTGAAGACCATCATCGTCATCATCAAAACCACCTTTCACCGCCACCTCAAGACCACCAAGAAGAGGCCAAAACTCCTCCCTTCTTGATGAATATCATGGCTACTACCAACAAAGGCTATTCAAATACATCAACAAATACCTTCTTAGACCCACAACAACATCATCATCACCATCATCATCAGCCTTACCACCAACTACAGTTCGTCCAGCATCAAGATCATCATCACGATGACAGCAATCAGATATCGTTCGCCATGATCAATCATTCGATGCCCTCATCGTCTATCCGCCCTCCTACTAATCCCACCACCACCACCAACAACAATATCATGTGATTCCTGATCCTTTTTCTTCTATTGATCGTCAAAGTACAAACACGTATATAGATAAGAGGTTTTAATGAAAATTATAGACCCGATTAAGATCCCAGAAAAGCAACCAAAGGCTAAGCTTTTTGTGTTTGTTTTGTACTTGTTGTAATTTTTCCATTTGATCTTGTATTATGCAGGAGAACCGATGGAGGTGGGCCTTACGATTTGGCTGATTTGGATCAAGCACTTTTTCTCTATGGCGAAGGCCAAGCTTCTGCTGATCCGTCTGCACTCTCTAGTGTCCAAGATCATCAAAGACGTGAGACCCTCTATAATCAAATGATTTCATCTGCTTCTCTCTCTCTTCTTTGTCTCTCTAAAAAGTGTTCTTTTTGGATCATAAGAAAAGCATGTTCTTCAGGGAATATGATCTGCTGGTACTTTCTTTGACCAGATCCTTTCTTTGGAGAACAAAATTAAAAGATCTTCACAACTTGCACAAAAATAAGAAAACAACTTCTGTTTACTCCATTTCTACAAAATATTTTTGGTTTCCAACCCTTTTTCGCCTTTCTGTTTCGTTTACAAGGTTGATTTGGACCACAAACATGCAGAAAAACAATCTCTTTTCCCCTATTAATTTTTGAGGTAATTTTACAAGAAAATAGAAAAACCCCTCCTGATTTAAGATCAATTCATGTTTATATCATCATCAATGAACGAAAAGACGGATTTTTTTCCCTCATTGATCATCACCGTTAAATTTATTTCTAGGCGATTCATTAGAATTGATGCGTGCAGAGGGTTCGACATCATCGGGGATGAGACCTCCAACTCTGAACATATTCCCTTCGCAACCGATGCATGTAGTAGACCCTTCAACCTCGACTACCAAGGTATTGTTTTCTAAAATCGGAAATCATAATCATTTGAATTGGTAATCAATTAAACCGTTAAGTCCTTGATTCGGCTTTTTTCTCACTTTAAATTGTTTTCTTGATGTAATATAATATATTAGCCGATTGATCAACTTAATTCATTGGGAAAAAATTGGAGTTGTAATTGTATGTTTGGTAGGCAACTACTGGATTAGTTTCTCCATCAAGCAGTGGTTCGAGGAGACCATCTGAACCGTCTATGGAGAACATCGCCAACCCCCAAAAGGATGCTCCTCCACCTGCCCCTCAATCTTCTAAAGCCATCAAGGTACGTATCCTTCTTTTTCTATATCTAACTACTAATTTATTTCATAACTATATATTAATTTAATCAACAACTCTTGTGTGTGTGTGTATATATATACATATATATATACATATATATATATATACATATATATATATATATATATATAAACATATATTACTGGGATATGGGTATCACCCGATTTTTTTAAATCATTTTTGTATAGTTATAACTTTCTTGATTGAATTCTTGATTTTCATGATTGGTACTGTAGCGTGAGGGAAACAAGAAAGGGCCTACGACTAGTTCAGATCAGGGTCGCCCCAAAACCCCCGATCCTAAGGTACCCAATTTTAATAATTAATTTTAATTTTATAATCAATAGGAAAATGTATAATATGTTTGAGCTTATTGATTAAGCAGACACTGAGGAGGCTTGCTCAGAATAGAGAGGCAGCGAGGAAAAGCAGGCTGAGAAAAAAGGTATGAAATTTATGAAAAAGAGAAGAATAGTTTGTATAGATTTCACAAACTTCTGTTGCTTTTCATAATTTTCTGTGCATCGTTGTTTGTTCTTTTTACAGGCCTATGTTCAACAGCTAGAATCAAGCAGAATTAAGCTTACCCAATTGGAACAAGAGTTGCAAAGAGCTAGAGCTCAGGTGATCATTTCTTTGCTTAGTAGAAAAAGCCAATTAATATTAATATGTTGGATAAATTTGAAACTCACTTGAATATATTCGATTTTTAGGGGGTATATCTTGGTGGTGGTGGTGGTGTTCTTGGAGCTGATCAAGGTGTTCCTCTTGGAATGAATAACATAAGCTCCGGTACATTAGCAAAGATTCATAAGAACGATCGTTTTTGATTGTTAGCTGGTTCTTGACTTATACAAACAACTGTAGATGCTGCAGTTTTTGACATGGAGTATGCAAGGTGGCTCGAGGACTACCACCGTCAAATGTGTGAACTTCAAGCCGCGGTTCAAGAACACTTGCCAGAAAACGAGCTCCGGATCTATGTCGATAATTGTATAGCACGTATCGATGATGTGATGAATCTGAAGAGTATTGTTGCAAAATCTGATGTTTTTCACATCATCTCCGGCACCTGGAAGACTCCTGCTGAGCGATGCTTCATGTGGATTGGAGGGTTTCGACCATCTGAGCTCATCAAGGTTCACACATATTTTCATACATACACACGTCTACAAACATACATATATACACATGTCCATACATACATATACATATACATACACATAAATATACATAAAAACAAACAAAAGATGAACCCTGAAACATAAGACACTATAATGAGATAGAAATGTGGTACATAATCCTCAAAATGCCACTAGAAGAGTCAAAAGCACGAAAATTTTGCAGCGAACCCACTCTAAAATGGGACCTTTCGGTCCCCAATATTTGTCGTGTAAGTGTTGGAGATCTTTTCATTTTTATTTAACTTTGATATGGCTTAGAAATTAAATTTTAGTAAATTTTGAAAAATGTTTTAGCCAAATTAATTGAAGCAGTCATCACGTCATATAGTTTTTTTTTTTTTTTGCAAGTCATTTTCCAAGCAGTTTGTGAATATTTCATCTAATCTCATGAGACCAGAAGTTAATGGTCAGACAAACCTTCAGTGACACTAAAAAACTAGAGGTTTTTTTGAAGAATCAAAAACTTGAGTTAGTCATCGATATGAGAAAATCCAAGACCTCGCCACACCTAAAAAACATTGTATTTATTATGTTCAAATTGGATTGATGATCTTTTCAATTATGCATAGTGAATGATGTATTATTAATGATAAATATTATGTAAAAATGTCTCGAACATGCCCCTATATATATATATATATATATAATACACACATATATAGAGAGAGTACGTTTCATATGCAATCCAATCAATTGAGATATTAATACTAAATTGGATACTTTTAATTAAAACGTCACAAAAAACTAATGAAATGGTTTTTCTTATTTACATATTCCGATTTGTTTTTCTTGGTAGACCGACCTTTTAAACATAAGATTAAAGCTAATATATATTTATTAAATAAATATAAAATATTATACATTTTAATTTTTAGAGATATGGTTTAATCTTTAAAAAAAATAATTAAATGATCAAACAACTTTTAAATTACCTGTGAAAGAAAATACAGCGGGTTGCTAATTAAACCATGAAAACCTCATTCAACCAATCATAATTTTTCATTTTATTTATTTTTTTTGTAATTATGAGAGGTTGATTAACCATTTTTATTGTGGAGGGTGTTAATCATGGATATTATCATTTTCATTATTTTAATTTTAGAGAAATACATGAAACAGTTTTATTAAAATTTCATTATATATTATATGAAACAATTTCATAACCATATATGAAACAAATTCATCAAAAAAAGTATTATATAAAACAATTTCACAAGATAAAACAGTTTCATAATTTTTTTCCATAAGATTAAACAATGAAATCGATGTATGAGGGTGATTTGTACGGTTTTTACAAATGAAGGTGGTTTTCATTTGATCGCTCCTGTATATATATATATATATATATATATATATATATATATATATATATATATATTAAAGGGGTTCAAATACTAGGATCCTTTTAGCATATAAAAGTAGGGGTCATTTAATCAAACCAAAGAGACAACAATTATGAAAAACGAACTCTAATTAATGTGCAATAGAAATACCAAAAATAGAAAGGATGAGAATAAATGGCAAGAGCAGGAGGTATGATGAGATGCTGCAGGAAGTATTGGAAGCAGTAATTTGCATGGGTACTGCAAGCTGTTGTTTGGTCGTACGTATACACTGTTGGGTGTGTGTGTGTGTGTGAAAGTGAAGGTGACACAGAGTGAATAATTACATTGATGACGAAAGGGTTGTTTCCATTGTAGGATGAGTTAGGTATTATTCCAAACTGTGCAAAAAAGCCCCTGTCTGTCACCACAACTTCTGCACTCTCTCTCTCTCTCTGTGTTTTATCTGTCTGTATCTCACTCTCTATATCTCTCCAAAAAATATATTTAGAAAGAGAGAGTTCCATTTTCACAAATTTGTATGTTATACGTCTCGTACTTAAGTACCTTTGGTTGGATATGAATCCATCTAAAACACTAAGATATGGCCATTTGATTCTTTAGAACAAGAACAGATGAAAAAGATTGTGTATCTATATAACTGTTCTTTGATACATTATATATATATATATATATATATCTAAAAAACGTAAAGAGATGATATTTCTTTTTCACTTTTAGAATGATTAGTATAGTAGTAATATATAATCCTTACTTAGGTGGTTGGAATTTGTGTTTTAGATAATTCTTGGTCAAATCGAGCCATTAACAGAGCAACAACTGATGGCAATATGTGAAGTGCAACAAGCCACACAAGAGGCTGAAGAAGCACTGACGCAAGGGCTGGAGGCACTGAATCAGTCTTTATCTGATACCATTGCTTCCGATGCTTTAAGCTCCCCTACAAACATGGCTAACTACATGGGTCAGATGGCTGCAGCCATGAACAAACTCTCCACCCTTGAAAGTTTCGTGATACAGGTATGTTCCCAATTTCTTTTCTGGGCTAATATACACAATGATGCATGATGATATAACTTACATGTATAGAATATATATATATATATATATATATATATGTATGTGTGTGTATTATGTGTATATATCCATATATGTTACTTGCAGAGTGGGTCCATAGGATGAGAACATGTTGCTTGCAATATTTGTTAGGGAACCTACTCCCAACAGATTATTAACCTGCTCCTCCACTCCATCAATCATATGTGACTTGAAAATGTACATAAATTGAAATAGGAAACCTTAATATCACAGTTGGCACATATATTGATTCATTTGTCATGGCCACATCTCCCACATTGACTTGATTACAATATCCAATCATTAATCATTGTAGGATTATAAGTTTAAGTTTTCTTTTAAAAATAATCTAAATGAACCAATCTTTTATGCTAAATGAATCTTTCCTTACAAATTTTCTTTTAAACATATCAAAAATCAATATTTTTTTTTATATATTATCGAATTATCGATTTGACCCAAATGAAATACTGATTTAACGGTTTTATATTATTATGTTATGTATAATAATATTTAATTTTGCCTATATTTGTAAATATGTAAAATACAATTTATTACATACCCTTTGTTTTTAAATATCATTTAATTGTGAAATCATTCTATAATGTAAATTAATGCATTGTTTTTGGATTTCAATATACATAAAATTTTAGGGTTTTTAGAGTTCGAATCATGTATTTACATATTGTCCAATGAAGTATTGCAAAGATGTTATCAAACATATGCTAAATATTTCATTCAATTATTGTAGTTTTTAGAACCCTTTTGTAGAAAAGGTAAAGTTTTACTAAGAACATGCACACAACATGCTAATAGTGAGACTCGAACTTATAACTTATAGATTGTGGGACTCATCAGTTAAGTATTTGGAATTAAGTTACTGTAGATCTTCTAACTAATGTAAATTATATAGGTTTGAAATATAAACTTATATAAATAACTAGTTGTAATGACTTGTTTCATGACATGATAATTAGTAGTGATAACTTGTTACGTATCAACAAACAATTAAAATCATTAAGTTCCTTAAACCTTAAGTTCTGAGCTAATTATAGGGTGAATATGCTACGTTGGGCTTTAATTTGCGGTATTACAAATGGTATTATAACAAATATGTGTGGCATGCATCGAGTCCATGAGAAGGGTGTTTGTAATATCGTACGCAAATCATGCATCATCATTGAACAAGGGAGATATTGGATAGGCCTAAAGCAGGGGTAATAAATTTAATTGGGAGAGTTTGTGACAACTCATCTCGTATCAGTAGAAAGTGAAATTTGTAAGTTCCCTAAGCCTTAGTTAGTTGTGTGTTATTAATAACTTCCACTAATATCATTTTAAGTTGAATTAAAAGTTATTAAGAGGTCACTGGTTAAATTAAAAGTCTATAGTTATTATCATTTCTTCTATCTTGTATTAAATATGTAATATATTTCAATGATAATAAGCTCACGCCCAAAAAGAAGAAAGTTACGTCTGCGTTAAATTTGGAGATGAAAGTCTTCTTTCGTTTCTCGACAGTGAAGTAAGACCAAGCTCATGAACTTACTATCTCAAGTCGGAACAAGTTGATATAATCCCCCTTTTTACGTCCCCATACCCTCTGTGTGGCAATAATTACATGCATATCTTAAAAGATACTCAGACTAAATCCGTAATTAAAAATTTATAAAGACTCGATTTATATAATTATATCTGAATTTATATTTATCGGTACAATATTGTTAAACAAAGTTTTCAATATTAGTAAATACTTTGATGTAAAAATCAGGATTTAATTTACATATATATATATATATATATATATATATATTAAACCACAAAAACATATGTACATGGAAGTTGGTTTTGATGTTATTGTAGTAGTTGAATGCTTTTTTATTCTAGGGTTTAAAATCAAATGATATTGAAAATGACATCATGCAAATATGGGTTTTAGGATCTCAATGATGGGGATGTTCTCTTGGGTCCACTCCCTTAAAGACATCGATTACAATGTCCCTTTTCTATAACTAGGTCAAGCAAATTGCCCTTTATCTTAAATTCATGCATGCCATTTCACATGATTTATACCCATGAATGTATATATATATATATATATATATATATAGTTTATCATATTTTATAATTAATAATTATAAATAAAGTTGCTATAAACTAGATGTAAATAATAAATTACGCATTATTGAACGATAAGTTTATTGTTAGTTAAAAAGTTAACTGTTGACTTGTAATTTATCTGTTCGTTGATAAGATAGCTGATAAACTAGTAATATTTAGTAAAATTAGTTTATAAGATAGATTAACATATAAGATAATTTAAAAAATGTTAAAAAATCTAGTTAAAAAAAATATTAATGCTTAAAAAGGAAGTCCTTAGAGTCTATTGAAACCACTTGAAGTAAATTTTCATAAAGGTAATTTATGTCAACTAGAAGTAAATTTTTGCAATAAGTTCAAAAATAAGGTAACTTATAATAGCCAAATATAATCTATATTTCTGAAAAAAAAAATCATTTATAAAGTTTCATAATCCTTTTGATCTTGTATATAATCAGTGGTTTGATCAGTCAAATTTATGGCTTGGGACATGATTTAATCGATCATCTTTTAACTAAACGTTTATTGGTAAGAGTTAGTACTATAACATATTTGACCGGGTAAATTTGTAGTCCATCAAAACGGTATTGTATGTAACAATTTTTTCGATAAATATTTAATGGGTAAAAGTCATCACCCCTACTTATGCCTGTTAAGACTCTCCATCCTTATGATCGTTCTTACCGTGTAAGATTTTCGACCCTTGTAATGTTCATCCAGTAAGGTAAGTAACCTGGTAAATGTTTACCGAGTAAGCATTTAGTAAACACTCTTTAGTTTTCAAATATATATCCTATATTTGAATAAAAGGTATTAAGGCACTATATTTGCTATGTTTCATAACTTTGTATGAATATGTTTATGTTTTTGTACTTTCCCTACCGTTTATGTAATTGTTCAAGTAAATTTTACCCCTAAAGATATGTAACATCCCGAGTCAACCGTATCAAATATTATTTGCTTTCCTCCCAACCAATATGGGATCTTACAAGACACATGATATGCAAGTAAATGTATCATATTTCGCCAGTTTTCTTAGATTTTGCCATTTCTTTATTCTATTTAATAATTATTACCATCATTTTAGATTGCTTTAAAATTTATTTGAATAAGTTTATTCTGTGTTATATGATTGCCACCATGATCATACTTCAATCCTCCATTTTTCATCATATAATATAAATTCATAACCAAGATGCCAGAACTTTAATCATGTTAATATCTAGGGAAAATTGTATCAAAATAGAACTAACTTTCATTTAATTCTTATTTTGGGGAACCAACTATCAAAATCGTCATTTTGGGGAACCAACTTGCAAAATAATTATAGAAAAATAACTAAAATTCGTTTTTTTCAAAAATTAATGCAATAAAATCTATTTTTAATTTCAAATCTTGTTTTTTTAATTCAGATATCAAATTGAACATTTTTTTTAAAATATCCAAATTACCACAATAAAAATTGTTTTTTACTAATGCAAAAAAAATCAATTTAATAGAAAAAAATTAATTGATGCAATTGGTTAGATATAAAAATCTTGAATGTGATATTTAATATTTATTTTTTATTGCATCAATTAATTTTTTTTTTAAAATTGATTTTTTTGCATTAGTAAAAAACAATTTTTATTGTGATAATTTGGATTTTTTTTAAATATTCAATTTGATATCTGAATTAAAAAAAAGAGATTTGAAATGAAAAATAGATTTTATTGCATTAATTTAAAAAAAACGAATTTTAGTTATTTTTCTATAATTATTTTGCAAGTTGGCTCCCCAAAATAGGAATCAGATGCAAGGTGGTTCCCCAAAATGACGATTTTGAAAGTTGGTTCCCCAAAATAAGAATTAGGTGAAAGTTAGTTCCATTTTGATGCAATTTTCCTTAATATCTATTCTAAATGGTTGTGAATTTGATCTCGCATTGTTTCCTAAGTATTCTTGACCTAACTTTTTTCCTTTAAAAAGGAAACCTTTAATCTTTGATTCTTGTTTGTATATAAATTATTTTGAATCTGTCATGAGTATATTGATTGAGATTCTGTCCCTTGTGCCCTAATTTTCTAGGAATTTTGAACTAAAGTTTGTTTGACTTGTATATATTAAAAAAAATTAATTGATTGTCTCGTTGAAATTCTTTTTGCAAGTGCTCTTTGTTAGAGTAATCTAACAGAAGTCTACTCAACGTCTGTCACGCTAGGAACTCAATGATCTGTATATTAGATAGTTGTGTAGTTTGCTTTTGATACTCTATTGTGCTTGTCTAGCCTGTGTTGGAGAGAGTATGTTAAGAGTCCTGTATGCCACTTACCAAACGCTTACCAGGTAAACACTTAATAGGCGTCACTAACCTTACCGGGTACCATGACGGTAACCAAGAATCTTACAATCTTATTTGATAAGTGAGGGAGAAAACACTTACCTGATAAACGTTTACCGAACAAAAGACGTGCAACAATAATTCATTTTTATGGCTGAAATGTTACCCAACAAGGTAAATAAGAATGATAACTCTTATCGATAAACGCTTGATAAACAATCCCTTAAACTCTTTCATCTCAATATATGTTGAACTCTTCTTTTTATTTTCAAAGACTTTTTTAAGTGAATCATCTAATATAATCAATATGTTATTACATAATATATGTCATATATATGTATGTATATATATATATATATATATATATATATATATATGATAGATAATAGGTTTCAAAGGTTGAATTTCTGCAAAATCTTGCCACCCATCCACCTAAGAGAAGAAAAATTCACCCTTACCCATGTTTCATTTTCATCTTCACACACAAACAAGCATGATATCATATTTTATAGTCCAAAAGAATATTAAATAATTATATGAACATTTGAGCTTAATTTGACAATCCAACCACTCACTATGACAATGTCCTCCAAAAATGTCAACGTATACTTAATTAGTTAACAAATAACATATACAGATTATAATTTGCCTTCTGTCTACGTGAAAATGACATTCAAGATTGTATTCTAATTCAATTTTTCCATTTTTTATTTTAAGTTTGTGAAACTAACAACACGAACACCTTACAGGCTGATAATTTGCGACGCCAGACGATTCATCATGTCCTTCAACTCCTAACGACCCGTCAAGCAGCCAGGAGTTTGCTAGCTGTTGCCGAGCACTTCCACCGCCTTCGATCTCTCAGCTCTCTTTGGGTGGCTCGCCCTCGACAAGATTAGGACAAAAAAAGGATCCTATCATATAGATCATGTCCTTCAGTTGGTTCTAGTTTTTTTCTCTCTTTTTTCACCCTTTTAAAGTACTTCCATGACGTTTTTTTGGTTCACTTTGCATCCTTTGTCTAGAGAGATGTATAGATAGACAAAAAGTCCCATAACTAGTTTTAACAGTATATGATGTAGACCACTCTCTCTGCTGCCATTTTAGTGTCTTTTGGTACGACGGGACGTGCTATGTTGCTTTGTACTTGTGCTATTATAACTTGTACAAATGGTAGCAATGTGTCTGTGTCCCATTGTGCTTAGGAATCGTGATGCATGCATGGCTGTCTTTTACCCATCACGTTTTAGCCATTTATCTTAGGTAAAAAAGAAAAAGAGGTGTTCCTATTTTTTGAAAAGTGGTTGGGGTTGGAACAAAAATTGCAGCATAGTTTTCAAGGAGGTCGGCATACAGACATGGTAGGTTGATTTGTTGTTTGTTTGCAAAATTCATAAGATTCAAAAAGAAATGCATGCACAATCATCAGAAGACGATGCAGCACTCGGATTTTTATGTGTAGATGACCCCGTCAAGACCAATTGAGATCTTGATTGTACCCAAAACTAAATAGCCGACCTTTCTTGCTTCCCCCATCAGGTGCTGCCATAGATCTGTATCAACTATGGGATAAGCGGAGGCATCCTTTTTGCCGTACTTTTGGGTTAGATTTATTCTGTTGTTTACAAAAATGTTACAAGTCAATTTCGACAGATAACGACTGTAAGTGAGAAATTTCCAACTAAAATAATCCTAACACACTACTAAAGATTGCCTTTTATACATACCTTATTATACACGAGTTTTGAAAAACAGTGTAAAAGAAGTTCTTGAACCTTTTTACACTGTTGGAGTGGAACCGTTGCTAAAAGTATAGTTTTATACACAGTTTTGGAAGAAAAAACGTGTAGAAAGAGTACTCGATAATTGTAAATTGTTGCATTGTTGAAAGCATGTATGAAAGTTTCATTTTATACATGGTTTTGAACCGAAAACAGTGTATAAAGGTATTGCCTCTTTTCACACGGTCCTTAATACAAAACCGTGCATAAAAAGTAACCTTTATACAAGGTTTTGAAGCAAACAACCGTGTATAAAAGGAGGGGGTTCTCCAGGTTGCTCGATTGAACTGAATGGATACCAGAGGAAAGGAGAAAAAGGACAAACCTATCGCTTGGATCCAAGTACTATATAAAGCAATTGCTACTACACGCCAGTTGAATACATTTTAATATGAAACAATTGCTACGAGACACCATCAGATATTTCACTAATTTGAACGGTGTTTAAATATGGAGAATATAAAGATTCTTCATTTCAATCTAGCATTTGCTTAGTTGGTTTACTTTGTGACATGATTTGAATTTGTTAAAATAGACCAAGTGTGCCGGTCTTGACTATTGTCCTGTTTTGACAGGAAAATTGTTGATAAGAGTAGAAAGTGTTAAAGCTTGAAAATCTGAATTTATCAGATTGTTGAAGGGTTGTGCCTCATTTCTTGGAAAAGTTAAAGGGTAGCGGAGTCATGGTTCAAATTCTTCAAGGGGCTCTATGTAATTTGGGAAAAATATATAATTTTTTAGCTATTCTTTCTCAAATTCATCTTTTCTCTCTAGTTCTAATTCATGTATAGAACAAATATTGTTCTAATTGTAGTTTCATTAAAATAGTGAGATAGATCTTGTTGTTTGTATGTTGTAAACATCAATGGAGTTCTTGTATTCTGAATATTTTCAAAATAAAATTCTTTTTTAACATGGCATCAGAGCTCGATTGGTTTCAAATCCTGAAGAACTTTTATGTGTCTCTTTGCTTGCTTCATTTTCATCTTTTCTCTTGTTGATCTTAAACGAACAAATGAACGGTTGGGTTTATTCGGTTCACGGTTTTCGCAAGATCTCGATTGTCGTCTCCCTTGTTGTATGTGATGTTCGTCATCTTCTTCTTTTCTTTTTGATTAACTTAAGTGAACGGTTGGGATTATAAATTGCTAATTCACTACTCCCAAATGTGTAGTATATAGCCATATATCGCCTTATAAATTACACTCTAACAAAGTATTTAAACCATGAGTAAATGATTGTTTACTAAATGCTTATCCGGTAAGTACTTACCAGGTCACTTGACCTTTGATAAGAATTAAAAATCTTATTCGATAAAAGCGATGAAAATGACGGAGAGTCTTATCCGATAAGTGAGAGTAACAATTCTTGTCTGGTAAGTGCTTACCAGATAAACTATTCCATTCGATGCCATTTTAATGAACAAAAATTTTACCCGTTAAGTTAAGTTGAAGTGTTGATTTTACGGGTAAACGCTTATCATAATAATGCTTATCGTGGTATAGTAAGCGCTTATCGTGGTAATTAAGCATTGGGTAAGTAGCCCTTGAGTTACAAAAAAGTATGGAAAAATAACACTGAAGATGATGAAATAATTTAACAAAGGTGTTTTGCATCTTTATACGGGGCGGTAGGAAAGATCAAGCGATATTTTCTCCTGCAGTGGCTTAATTTTGAATAAGTTGGCTTAATCAAACATCACGTACGTATTGTTCTTTCTTTAAATTAATTCATATATAGTATTGTCGTTTCTATGTCTATGCAAATGCATGATTAAAAGCATCTTATCATCATTCCTTATAAAACTGAACATGTATTAACATGGTCGTTGATGGTGTGAAAGAAAGATACAGAACCAAAAAATATTGAACTAATTTTATTGACTGATCATGAAGGGCTATAAATAACATTACAAGAAGGACTAAAAAGAAAAATAGCTAACCCACTAACTAAAGGAGTGGCATATGAATCTGTCAAAATAGAACTACCTAGTCTTCCAAAAGATTCGGAAGGATTTATTCAATTCAAAACTAGAAATCAGGAAGTAGTGGACAATTTCAACATCCTCCCTTCAACTGAATGGTGACAATCATTTAGTTTAATCTTGGATATATACTCGCATACACCTAACAGCTGTCGCAACTTCAAGAATGCATCTAGTTTTAGGGGCTTTGTCAGGATGTCTGCAACCTGCTCTTGAGTTGAACACTGAACCAACTCGACTACTCCATCATTGACAAGGTCTCTAAGAAAGTGAAACCTCACGTCTATGTGTTTGCTGCGACCATGCATTACCGAATTCCTTGAGAGCTTTATAGCTGATGTATTGTCACAATACACCACTGTTGGACTATGTTGCACTTGACTTAACTCCTCCAAAATTCTTCTTAACCATACAACTTGGCAAGCACTTGAAGCTGCTGCTATAAACTAAGCTTTAGTAGTAGAGAGAGTGACCACCGGCTGTTTTGTGGAACACCATGAAACTGCTCCAGAACTCATCAAAAATACATAACCCGAAGTACTTTTTCTATCATTTAGATCACCCGCATAATCACTATCCGTAAACCCAATGAGCTCTTTATTTCCTCCCTTCCTATAGAAAATCCCGAAGTTAATTGTACCCTTTACATACTTGAGTACTCTCTTTGATGTTGCCAAATGAGACTCTGTGGGACGTTTCATGTATCGACTGATCAAACTAACAGTAAACATCAAATCTGGGCGTGTGGTGGTTAAGTACATAAGGCTTCCCACCATTTGCCTGTAGATGGTGCCATCAACTTCAGTTCCCTCTTCATCTTTCGTGAGCTTAAGATCGGGAACAGCCGGATTATGCACTGCATTGCATTGATCCATATTAAACTTTTCTAACATTTCTTGTGCATACTTCCACTGACCAATGTAAATACCATTTGTTCTCTGTTCGACTTCAATACCTAGAAAATATATCATTTTTTCCAAGTCGGTCATATCGAATTCAGTCATCATTGACTTCTTAAAAGCTTCAAACATCCCTTTGTCATTACCCGTATAAATGAGATCATCAACATAAAGACAAACAATTAAGATCTTACCTCCAGCTCCAAATTTTATGAATAAAGTATGCTCGTAGGGACATTTTGTAAATCCCTCTCTAATGAAATATGCTTCAATGCGACTGTACCAAGCTCGGGGAGCCTGTTTTAATCCGTACAATGCCTTCTTGAGTCGATAAACCTTTGATTCTTGCCCTTTAACTTCATAACCAGGAGGCTGATCGACGAACACTTCTTCTTTAATTTCTCCATGGAGAAAGGCTGATTTTACATCAAGTTGATAGACCGTCCATGTTTTATGGGCTGCAAGTGAAAGAATTAGTCGTATGGTTTCAAGACGAGCTACCGGTGCGAACACTTCAGCATAATCAACACCATATTCCTGAGAATAACCCTTCGCTACCAGTCGCGCTTTGTACTTGTCCACCTCCCCATTTTCATTGAGCTTCATCTTAAAGACCCACTTCGCACCTATGCTTTTATCTCCATATGGCAGTGATGTTAGTTCCCACATATTGTTTCTTTCTATGGCTTGAATTTCTTGATCCATAGCATGCCTCCATTTCTCTTTTTTCACAACGTCTTCGAATGTTGTGGGATCTTGATTCAGTAGTGGAAATGTCAAGTGAGAGTCTTGATCAATGAACATAGCCAAATGTGTCATCTCTACAATTTCCTCATCAGACAACCCTTCACCTGTCTCGTAGTCTTTTAACAAAACCGATTTCTTTCTTATCTGTCCTTCACGTTCTGGAAGTTGAGCTGGAACTTGAGTGTCTACTCTAGGTTGAGTAGGTTGAGTAGGTGAGTTTTCAACACTTGAAATGTTGCCTTCACTTTGAATATGTGGCATCTCATTGTGAGTCAATGCCTCATCTTGAGTAGACGAACTTCCAGAGTCTGCTTGCTTTTCTCGATTACATTAAGCACCTGACGAACTTCCAGATTCTACTTTCTTTTCTCGATTACATTCAGCACCTGGTTCCTCATCATTTTCCCACTCCAAATCAACATGTATAGCTTGCTTATGACTATCATCCCAGCTCCATTGTTGATCTTCCTCGAACACCACATCTCTACTTATAAGTATTCTATTTGAGATTGGATCAAATAGCCTATAAGCTTTGGATTCGTCACTTACCCCAAAGAAAATACACTTCAGACTCTTTGAATCAAGCTTTATCCTTTTTGCATCAGGTACATGTACATGGCCAATGCAACCAAATACACGAAAATATTTAACGGATGGTTTAATCCCAGACCACGCCTCTTCCGAAGTCTTGTCTTTTAATGCAAGTGTTGGACTTCGATTCAACACATGAACAACCCAATTTACAGCTTCAGGCCAGAAGGTTTTGGGA